GCTGGTTTCCATGACCAGTTTTTTGTTTTGTTTTTTTTTTTTAAACAAAAGTGTTTTATAAAATAAGGTGAAATCCATTCTTCTGGTACCTTCTAGCCTTTGGGGGCTACTTCCTTCCTCTGGAGTTACTCAGAACAAGGGATCTCCTTTTTCACCCATGCCCTACCCCCTGACCCTAGAAGGACTAAGACTTCTAGCATCACAGTTCCCAGCCAGGATCCTCTCTGCAGTAACTCTTCTCCCCTTCTGACTGCTCCCTTTCAATGGCAGGTGTTTCCAAGTTTCATTCTTGTAGTAGGTGCTGCCCCACCTATATTGCTCTGCTCCTCCCTGCCCACCAAGCAAGCACAAGGCTTCTGGGTGTCTGGGCCTCCGCAGCCCACTGCAGTGCCATCACTCTGCTTGCCAACTCATTTGATGCAGCAGGTAAGAAAGCGGTTAGAGACGTACATTGAGTTTCTGAGAGGCACCAGTCTAGCTAAGACGGAAATAGGCTCTAACTTAATAATCTGCTCATCACACACAGTAAGAGACACCCTGACTTATTCAAAGACACTGTGGGTGGCGCAGAAGATGAATAAGCATGATTCACTGCCACTCTGGCACCCAGGGCACGAAGAAGAATAAAACTCAAAGAATTGTAGCTGCCTGAGTAGTAAATTAAGAGATCTGGGGCTCAGCTAGACTCCAGACATCAATGTTACCATGGCAATAAAAGGCCCTAGCATTCAACATCTATTACAGAGCAGGCATCTAATAGGCTAGTCTATGCCAGAGCCAAAGCTCAAGGGGCTAGCAAAGAAGACCAATTAGCATATGCATTCATTAGAGACCGCTGCACACTTCTCTTAATTCCAGTTAGTTGTTTGTTTGAACCAATGTATCTTGCCTGCATTAAACTCATTAGTGCCTTTTAGCCACTGGAAATAGGCTTGAATCTCCACAAGGACCTCATGATTTCCAGAGCCTTCATTTTTTTCCTCTAGGGGTCTAGGCTTATACAGTCACAAACCCATGGCCCTCAGTCCCTCGAAATGAAAGCATCTCTTACTGTACAACTGTACTTGACAGATGGAAACTCTGTTCAGGAATGTGATGTGCTAAGGGTTCTTCCTGGAACCCAGTGAAATAGGGATCTGGGGCCATTATCTGGACCATTCAGGTCAAGGAAACCCTCTGGCCTTAGCCAGTGAGCCTACTGGCCACGCCTGCTGGCCACTACTCAGAGGCTAGCTATTCGGGAGGGGGAGCTGTGGGCACTGGGGACCATACTGGAATCATCAAAGTTGGGCAGTAGCTGTTCCAGCTTGAAAGACTGTCTTTCAAGGTCCAGCCCAAACCCCGCCTATTCCGGGAAGCCTTCCCTGATCTTTGCAGCCCCAAATGAGTTTCCCCTCCTCCATGCACTTCTAAGATGACACCCTATGCTGGGCAGCATTCATTGGCAGTCTCAGGTCCTAGGCCAGCCTGGAGTTTCCTCACCCATGACTTCAGAGGTCACAAGGTCACAAATGCTGGAAGGGACTGGGGTTCTAGAGAGCACTCAACAATGCTTGGGTGACTCCAATGGCAAACAACTCTTTTTCTAAAAAAAATATTTTATTGATTTCAGAGAGAGGAAGGGGAGGGAGAGAGAGATAGAAACATCAATGATGAGAGAGAGTCATTGATCAGCTGCCTCCTGCTTGCCCCCTACTGTGGATCGAGCCCAAAACTCTGGCATGTGCCCTGACCGGGAATTGAACCGTGACCTCCTGGTTCATGGGTCGACGCTCAACCACTGAGCCACACTGGCCGGGTGGCAAACAATTCTTAAGCTCCACTGCACATGATCTCTCAGAGGCTCCCTGAAGATTTAGCCAATCCCTAGGTAAAGAAAGTACAAAACTGCTCTTTGATGGCTCTGGGACACATTCCCCCCTCCCACCTTCCACAATTGTGGAAATAACCCATAAGAACAGATGCCATAAACTAACCCATTACATGGAAGAGGCAAAGATTCTCTGAAGAGTGCTACCATCTCTGCCTTCCTTTGGGAACTGGAGGATCCAGCCATAAGATTGTTTCTGTTCCCTGTTAGCAACCATGCAGTTTCATCAGGGTAGGCAATCAGGAAAAGGGGCTCGTAGAAGCAGCTGCTAACACTTGTGCCCAAGGACGGGGCATATAGTTTTAGATACTTGAATCATTTGCCTTTGAATCTCCTGTCACATTCAAAGCCTCTCCTTTCTTCCTCCTCTCTTGCTTCTGTAGCCACTGCTGCATTTATGGTCCCATTGGCCACTTCTGGCTCCAGTCTGCTGCACTGACAATCAGACTGGTTTTTCCCCTCAAAATTGGCTGGATTGGTTTTCCCCTTAGCTAGAGTTTTTTGACTGTGGACTCATACAGATTTGAGATCCTAAGGGATTTTGTTATTTTCCCCCACCCAACTTGTATTCCAGAAGGCAGCCTGAGCTATAGTCAAAATACATTGCAAATATATTAAGTATATTACAAGCCTCAAATTACTTAGGCTGCTAGGGACCAAGAGATTCTGGAGAATGGAATATTTTGTTACCTGAGGCCACATTATTCCAAGTCCCCTTTTGTCCTCCCACCCTTGGGGTTTTTCCAGCTTTATTGAGATATAATGGACATATAACATTGTGTAAGTGACTTGATACACTTATTTTTGTTTTTATTATTATTTTTAATCCTCACTCAAGAATATGTTTTCATGGATTTTGGAGAGAGGGGAAAGGAGAGGAAAGAAAGAAAGAGAGAAACATCAATTGATTGCCTCCCATAGGCACCTCGACCAGGGATCGAACCTTCAACCTGGGTATGTGTCCTGACCGGGAATCGAATTCATGACCTTTTGGTGTACAGAATGATGCTTCAATCAGCTGAGGCACTGGCCAGGGCTAAAACTTTGTATCTTTTGACCAATATATCCCCAGTTCTCCTACTTCCAGCCCGTGGTAACCACTATTTTACTCTCAGTTTTTATGAGTTCAGCTTTTTAGATTCTATATATAAATGAGATCATACAGTATTTGTCTTTCTCTGTGTGACTTATTTCACTTAGCATAATGCCCTAAAGGTCGATTCATGTTGTCTTCAATGGCAAGATTTCCTTATTTTTCATGGCTGAATAATATTCCATTATATATATGCCACATCTTTTTTATCCATTCATCTGCTGACAGACACTTATGTTTCTATGTCTTCACTATTGTAAATCGTGCTGCCTGCCACTCTTGATTTTTGAAATCTTACCAACATGACTGTACTCTCCTTTTTGCCTTAGTAAGACAAGGCCAGTTAATCTGCCCTTTGTCTGTTTGTTTTTCGAGGCTTCCAAGGGCTTCAGGATCACACAAAAGGCTCAGGTGGAGAAAGTGTAAGAGGTAGAGCTTGATATCTACCAACACCAGGTTATCCCTTGAAATACATTTTGCTTTTATTAAAATGCAATAAAAGGCCCTAGCTGGTTTGGCTCAGTGGTTAGAATGTCTGCTTGAGGACTGAAGGGTCTGGGTTCCATTCCGGCCAAGGGTGTGTACCTCTGTCGCAGGCTTGATCCCTGGCCCCATGCGTGTGGGAGGCAACCAATAGATGTGTCTCTCTCACATTGATGTTTCTCTCTCTCGTCCTCTCTCTCTCTCTCTCTCCTACTCTCTCTAAAAAACAATGGCAAAATATCTTCAGGTGAGGATTAAAAAAATTCAAAAAGGGGAATAATTTTCTTTATTTGTCAGTGGTCTCTTTCTCTCCAAATAAAGGTATGGGAGGAGATTCTGCTAAGGAAGAGTCCCAATTAGTAACAATCTAGTAAATGGAGATTTTATGTTAAATTAACTTCTATCAAAGCTATCTGCATCAGAATAGCCTGGAGTTGGAATTATGAATAGAGAAATCTATTGAAGCTATTGTGCTATTTTTGCTATTTTTCTTGACTATGAATCTGCCCAGAATCTCAGTATCTGCAATATTCTCAGTCATCTGGGTATAATGGGGGATGGGGTGGGTAATTTGTGAAAGAAAGATTACAAACTCTACCCAGGCCTTTTAGCCACCCAGGCTCCAGTGGGGTGGATCAAACAGGCAAAAATGCTATACAATGTTCTTGGCTATTTCTACTAATTTTTCTTTTGTTGGATCCCACATTGGCTTCAGGAGTTATATATGTCTGGGAAACTGACACTGCAAAGTTCTGGCTTGTTCCCTGCCCTGATGCTAAGGGATAAATATAGATCTCAACCACTACAGAAATTTGGCCAGGATTCCAAGAGATGTGTGTGTGAGGGGCAGCAACTGATGGGGCCATTCTGACATGTGGGCTAGAAAAAGGCTTCTTTATGTCCAAGACGCTTTTTTGGGAGGGAGGGAGTGAGGAGGGGTAAAACAAAAGACTGGCTTCTAAAATCAGGATTTGTAATCCACATTTTCAGGAGTTCCTGGGTTGACACAAATAAGAAATATTGTAGGTGGCTTGGTGTGTGTGTGTGTGT